ATTTTTGAATTTTTGTTGTTGGTGGGATTCGAACTCTTGATCTGCCGCTTGGGGAGTGATAACTTGACCACTTGCTATATTACTACACCCTTTATTAGAGTTATAGTAGGGTTATATTAGACTATATTTGTATAATATTATACAAATTATATAGTTAATATTAAGATTATATTAGATATATAAATTTGTATAACATTATACAAATTATATAGGGTTTTAAAATTTATTGCACGTGCAATATATTGCACCCCTTCTGTTATATAAAAATTTTTACTATGAAACCACTTTGAGGTTCTAATAAAAAATTCTTTGATATAACCTATACCCTTGCCTCATCCCAGTTCTTAACCCTAATCCTAACATTAATTAAAATTTATTTTTTGTTTTGATATCGCAAAATTTTAAAAAATTAAAAATTAATAAGAATCAATTTTGATTGTTTTGGTTGATAGTTTATGACACGGACCAGAACTTTTTTTGCTGTGGTTAGAGTACTCATTTTCTAACCAATTTTGAGAAGCTTGATTATATAATTAAAGTTTTGGATACTTTTTGAAAAAATGAATAACAATCAAAGATCATCATTTTAACTTGGCAAATTGAATTCAAACATGTGCCATTTTTCTCAAAACATAATCCCTTCTTGAATGGTAGTTTTCCGAGTTCATCCTTCATATTATATCTCGCTAAGATATATTGCATATTATCCCATTTATTCATCTACCAATACCATTATTATTAATTATACTTACATATGGCAACTTCGCATGAAGATAATCACAACATATCTAACTATTTTCATTATAACAATTATTCTGAAAGATAGAAACACTAAAAATTTAAGAAACATTATAGGTAAGCAGACTGTTATTAATGAATGAAATTCTTTAACCACATAAATTTGCCTCGTAATTTAATAAGAATGTTATCCGTTAATCCAAAATTTTTATTAATGCCAGCTGAATTAAACAGTTAGAAAAATCTTTTATACCGAAATTAAATCAAATATTGACATGTTCTGATTTTATATTTGCAACATGCGAAAGGCACCAGCTACTCGCGATTTTTTTAAACTGTTAGTCGGGTTATCCGATGACCCGGTTTATCCATTCTCTTTTTCAATCACTAATTTTTATTACTGATACAAAATTAATTCAAAACCTCTTTTATATAATACAATAGCAACTAAATAAAATACAAGCTCAAATCAACGTGCAATATAATTTACACTTTTATCGTTATAAATATTTTTACCAAAATATTATACAAAAGCTTAAATGCACAACTTATTATTATTATTAAATCTGGCATTCAAATACTTCCAACTATGGAAAAGACCTAATAATTTTCTCATACATTTTCAAATAAAAGCTATTTGTTTGGCAGCCGTTAATTCTTGCTGAAACCACTCCCGAATATAGCCAGTCTTGCTACTTAAAAGTTCCGAGTTAACACTACAAACTCCTTCTAAACCAGAAACATCAAGGCCCTGACTTTGGATTGTTGCTATTGCTACCATAAAAATAAAGGATGTACCAAGAATAAAAAGTCCACCATAGTATTGATTAGGGTTAGGTTTATCACCACGAATATTTAGAGGAACCGGAATACTATATGAGTTACCATATGGAATAACTACAAAAAAGGTATATAATAAAAACGCTCTGGTAAAGATGTCAATTATCCAGGCTTTCTTACTCCACAAATAGAAACTAAATCCTTGTTCTTGCGGAATACAATTGATTATTGTATTTGGAGAAGTATCAGTAGGAATTGCTGTGCAGTTAGTCAGAAGTTGTGCATTAGCATGAAAATTCTGTTTGCTAGCGTAAATGCCCAAAGATATTATTGTCCATATTGCACCAAGACAAGCCAGTACTTTGGTAAAATGTAACCATATTTTAAAATATTTCATACTGTATGGGAAACGACTTCCGAACATGATACTTCTATGTTTAATCTTAAGTTCATACAGTATTATATATTTTTGCGTCAATATTAATTCTAAAACATTCTCTTTCCACTCTTCTAGAAGATGCGTCGTAACAGAAATCGCAATAAATAAAGAACAAGCTAATTCTGGATATTGAAACCCATTTAAACCGTGAACCCGCAAGGAATTCATGCTACCAATCAAAGCAACTAAGCAACGAATCAAATTTAAAAAGAATAATATTTTGTCTAGTAGGTTCCATCTAAAAGTAAACCTTTTGTTCCATAATTTAATAGGCGATACCCTTTTGTCAGATAAATCAATAGGAATAGGAAATTCAACACACTCTTCTTCTTCAAACTCTTCATCATTATTATTACAAACAATCGCACCATAACAAATCTAGCAAAATTAATGTAAGCAATAAATATACTAATTAAAGCAATTGGCCAAGGAGTTGGTAAACCACTGAAATTGATAACCATTTCAGCAGCTACCGGGCTTACAAGCAAAATGAACAAAAGTAACCATTTAATTTTCATTTTCATAATAATTAATTTATGATATTTTTTTTAAATAGACAATAACCACTTCTCAAATTAGTAGTCTAAAAGCCACAATCGCTTCTTATAAAGATGCACAAACATTATTTATAAACAATTTTTGAGAATCTAAGAATATAATCTCCCTAATGTAACATAGAATCAAGCAGTACAATAACTTAAATATGCTACTTGTTTATACTTTGGGCGTTCTCAACCAAGGATAAGATTGATCTGTCTGATAGTCGGGTTTTTTATTGAATTCATTGAGAGAAGTGCTTTAAGAGCGCCTTTTGTCTCTATAAGGAGTAATTATGGATTTGCCTGTACATGTAGCGCAAGAAATTTAAAAACCACAATTACATAGGTATAAACCAATAGCATATTGAAATCAAATATTTCCTAAATTATTAGCAACAATAAAGTGTGTACATTGTGAAAGGCGGGACTAGTTCAGGTCGTTACACAACTTATTTATACGTTTTACTTTATTCGGAAGTTCGGGTAGATTTCTTTAATGTAATTTGATAGAGTTTTTTTTTTGTTTTTTGAGACAGAGCTAGTCTAGTAATAGTTCAACAAATGTTAGATTTTTCTTGCAGATCTTGATGGTGCATGGTCTCTGAAGTTTTATACCTATTTTAAAAAGTTACCACCAAGCTAACAATACTTAAATTAGAGATTATTAGAAATTATTTTTATAGGCAGTATTTTGATACAAGAAGCAATATATGCAAAAGTTTTTTGTTAGTTTGTAACACTTAAGTTCTTGAAATTTACTCTAAAGCATAATAAATTACTCATCAATTGGTCTACATCAACCAATCAAACAAACTTCTGCCTATGATTTAGAGGATGTCTAAAGCGAAGCAAATTCTTATAATAAGGGAGGGTCGGGTATTCTGGCGCACCTAAGCTCTATTGTCAATTAAAATTTTATAAATTAATATTTATATCTAAAATTCATTTAAACCAACTAATTTTATGCTTGGCTATTCGTAATGAAAAAAATATAAGTATTATTAATAAAAAACTGTTTATTACAACTTTTTTGAACCCGACTTTTTAGACGTAATTACCAGTA